TCTGGATATAGATTATTTTACTACTTTTGTCTTTAACCTTCCTACTAGCTTTATAAGTGGTTGATTTACTACCTTTTCTATATATTTGCCTTTACAATGAGATTTTTCCTTTTATAATTTTCATGTTTCTAGTTGTGGCCATTTCTTTTTTAGTTAGAGAAGTCCCTTTAACATTTCTTGTAAAGCTGGTTTGGTGGTGCTGAACACTTTTAGCATTTGCTTCTCTGTAAAACTTTTGATCTTTCCATCAAATATGAATGAAGTCCTTGCTGGGCAGAGTATTCCTGGTTGTAGGTTTTCCCCTTTCATCATTTTAACTATATCATGCCATTCTCTTCTTGTCTGCAGAATTTCTGCTGAAAAGTCAAATGTTAGCATTATGGGAGTTCCCTGTAACTTGTTGCTTTTCCCTTACTGCTTTTAATATTCTCTCTTTATCTTTAATTTTTGCCATTTTAGTTACAGTGTGTCTTGGTTTGGTCCTCTTTGGGTTGATCCTTTTTGGGACTCTCTATGCTACCTGGACCTGGATGTCTGTTTCCTTTTCCAGGTTAGGGAAGTTTTTGACTATGATATCTTCACATATGTTCTATGCCCCTTTCTCTCTCTCTTCTCCTTCTGGGACCCCTATAATGAGAACGTTAGTATGCTTGATGTTGTTCAAGAGGTCTCTTAAATTGTCCTCATTTCTTCTTATTCTCTTTTCTTTTTCTGTTCAGCTTCAGTGATTTCCACTACTCTGTCTTCCAGCTCACTGATCCATTCCTCTGTATCATTTAATCTAATGTTTCTTCCTTCTAGTGTATTTTTCATATCACTTATTGTATTCTTCATCTCTGCTTGGTTCTTATTTATATTTTCTAACTCATTAAAACCTTCTAACTTCTCACTCTGTTCATCCAGTCTTTTCCCAAGTTCTTTAAACATATTTACCATCATTACCTTGAATTCTCTATGGGGTAGATTGCATATCTCCACTTCTTCTTCTAGGGTTTTACCTTGTTCCTTCTATCATTTTGCTTTTTGTTTTCTACATAACTTAAAGAAAACAAAGATGTAGCTCTTTTATTCCTAACTTCCTGCATTACTGTATTCTTTCGTGTTTGGTCTGTTTTTTGTAGTGAAACATCTAAATTCTTTTCTCATTTTCTGTTGTATATATTTTATAGCTGTTTCTTTGTGGTTACCATGGGATTACATTTAACATACTAAAGTCATTACATTCTAATTTGAATTTATCCAGCTTAACCAATAACATACAAAAACTCTGCTGTTTTACAACTCCGTCCCCAACCCTGGTGTTTGATATCATAAAATTATATCTTTTAGATTGTGTGACTAAAAATATAAACTAATAATTCTTTAAAGTGCATTAGTATCTTATGATATGTAGGATACAAACTGCAGAGTTACAAACCAAAGTTACAATCGTACTAGTTTTAGACTAATAATTTTAAAAAGTAATGTAGAAATCAAAAAGTGGAGTTAGAAACTGGTGTTACAATAATACTAGATTTTATAATTTCCCACGTATTTACCTTTATTAAGATCTTTACTCCTTCATGTGTCTTCAAGTTACTGTGTAGTTTCCCTTTATTTCAGGACTGCAGGACTCCCTTGAGCATTTCACACAGGACAGCTCTAGTGGTGACAAACTGCCACAGCTTTTATTTATGTAGGAATGTCTTAATTTCTTGGCTCCAAGCTTTGCCAGATAGAGGATTCTTGGTTGATGGTGTGAGTGTTTGTTTTGTTGGTGGTGGTGGTTTGTTTCAGCATTTTAATGTATTGGCCCACTGCCTCCTGGCCCTCAAAGTTTCTAATGAGAAATAGGCTGATGATATTAATGTTGATCCCTTGCATGTGATAAGTTGCTACTCTCTTACTACTTTCAAAACTCTCTCTTTTGTCTTTGTCTTTCAAATTTTGATTATATTGTGTCTTGCAGTGGGTCTCCTTGCAGTCATCTTACTTGGAGTTTGTTGAACTTCTGAGATATTTATAATTATGCCTTTCATCAAATTAGGAAAGATTTCAGCCACGTTTCTTCAAATATTCTCTCTTCCCCTTTCTCTCTCTCTTCTGGCAGTCCTGTAATGTGTATTAGTCTTCTACATAGTATCTAGCAGTTCTCTTTGGCTCTGTTTTTTATTTCTTTCTCTCTTTTGTTTTATTTTGTTGTTGTTGTTGTTGAACACTGGACATTTAAATCTAATAATGTGGTAATTCTGGAAATCAGACTCTTCCCTTTTTCCAGGGCTTGCTATTTTTGCTTATTTTATTTTCATTTTGTAGGCTAACTCTGTGGGAAGGATCACCTGAGGTTTAAACTTTCAGTCTTCTCAGGTGTTTTCTGGGCCTGCACCTTTCCCTCATCACTTTCTAATTTTTCTCATATTTGCAAGTTGCTTTTCACTGTCCTAGTCCTTGATTTCTAGCTCCCAAAGTGGGAAAATGAGAAAACTGAAGGGAGGAAAAAAAAGGGTTCTAGCCCTTTAAATCCTCCCAGAAGTCACATCAGCCAGAGTGGGAGGGGAGGTGCAAGAACAGTGCACCTCACAGCCCTCAGTTGTCTGCTCCTCTCTAATCAAGAACAGAAATCAAAGAACAGATCCCTGATGTTTCGAGGACAGGGTTCTTTTTGCCCTGGTTCGCACAAGCTATACACAGCTTGCTCCAGGAACACATGCACAGTGGTCTGTCACAGGGCTGGAGGTGGAGGACTGGTAGCTGCTACTGTGCTAAGGGCTGAAATTGACTAACATTAACCACAATTTACTGCCCAAGTCTTCTTATGGAATTTGACTGCAGTAGACTACAGAGTTCCAAAATACTTACATTAGATAGATTCTGCTGAAATTGTTGTCTATGTGAGGAGAGAAAATCCTGGTGCTTCCTACTCTATCTACACCTACATAAGCTCTTTTTAAAAACGGCATCATTAATTCATATTTTCTACTTGAAAAATTATTTTCCTTTACTTCCTGACTCAACATTTGTTCCACCACCTTCTTGGCACCCTCACCTTCTCTCCTTTTCCCCATTTTGTCTACCATGTTTTACATAGTATTTAATTTAGTTTTTTTTTTTTCATTTTTCCTGCCTGTCGTTCTCAAATGGAATGTACGTATCATGAGGGCAGGTTTCTTTGTGTCTCTTCTTTCCTTTGTCTCCCATACACTGATGATAGTGCCCAAAAATCCATTATTTGCTCACTGAACATTGGTTAGAGCAGTGAATAAACATGACAACAACCTCCCTTCCTGTTCATTTTCACCATTCTGGAAAATCCTTCCAAATGTCCTCTTTACCACTTTCTTCTGGTGGGTTTTGCCTCAGTGTGTTAAGAATAAAAAAGGCACACGTTTTAAAGAGAAATCCTCAAGTGTGGTAAAACTTGTAGGATAGCACAGGCTCTTACTTCTCATACTATTACTCCTCAGACATCAGTTTCTTATCCTCAAAGTTCCTCAAGATATTAACTTTTTTCACTTCTCACAGTGTGCTTTCCCATGGGTATTTCTGCCACTATCTTTGAATGAATTCTTAATTATGAGTAATGACTCTCAGGAATTTAAATAATTTACAAGTGTGTTTCAGTGATACTCTCACTCTGCATGCAGTTACTACTGTTGTGAAATTACAGGTGAAGCGATAATCACTTCTTAGTAAGGAATTGAGACCCTGAAGTCACAAATATTTGTCTCAGGTTTCAGAGGCCCCTTTGGCACACTTGCAGGGGTCGTGACAGCTTCTTTCCCAGCAGGAAATGACATTGTGTAAGTGGCTTTCCTTTCCAGATTCCTAAAAGAAATTGAATGTGTTTTAGGATGAGTATCTGGATAAAATAATGTTGCTTGCTGGGTTGGACACATCACTGATTATACCAACAGGACAGACGTTTTCTGAGGCAACCAGAGGCAGAGTGCCACCCATGTTCACCAGCTTCAGAGCCTCTGAAAGTCCTCCCCTCCCCTCCATCTTTCCATCCCTGCTGGAGACTTTTCTCACTTATCCCTAACAAAACATACTGAAATTTACAAAACTGCCAAATAAAAATTGTCACTAGCCATCTGCCTCTACAAGGATTAGATTACTAGCCACTGCAGTTGCTGACTTTCGACACACCTTGAGAGGAGTTCAGAGCAGAGATCAGGAATGAGGCACTCTGTGCTCTAGGAAAAACTGGCAGAACAGGCCTTTAGATAGTTAGATATTTTCAGGAGAAGGTTTTATCAGCTCAATTTCTTACATCTTCTCATATCTAGAAAAGGACTAAAATCATTAATGGAGACATCTGCTCCTCAGGACTAGTGGCAACATTCTGCAAAAATGTGTGCTTGGTTGCATGTATCTCTCTTCACCAAAACCACATATATACTGACACACACACACGCGCGCACGCGTGCACACATACCTCTTTGGAGCAGTTCCTCAGAGCTATCTGAGCCGCTGTGTCCCAGGCTAAAGTCCTCATTTTGCCCCGAATAAAACTTAGGTCACAACTCTCTGTTGTGCATTTTTTTTTGGTCCACAGGACCAACTCTAAGGCTTCAATCTCCATGTATTTGAAGAGTAGCTAGATATCATATGTTTCCTCTTAGATACAGATACACACTTTCTGAGTCATAGTTTGGTGTGGTGTATCCAATTAGGTTTGTAACCTTTGGAGCATCTGAAATCTTTAAAGTTATCTGTGACAGGTGGCGGATAAATCTGTGTACTTCCCCTTTAAGAAGGTGCGAGGCCCGGCCCCTTCCTAAGAGCCTCAGGCCATCATTTCCTAGCACCCCACCCAGGGTTCCCTGAAGGCTTTCCGGTTCTTGGCCAGGCTGCCTGCAGGAGAGAAACTACACTACCCAGAAGTCTGTGCTGGGAGGAAGCAGTAAGAATTGGGCCAATAGGGACGGTAAAACGGGCGTTTCCTGTGTTGTTGGCTTGGACTTCCGGCGTCCTGGGGGCGTTAGTTCTTTTGAAACGTGTTTCTTTTGTGTTCACAGGCGTTCCTTGCCTGCGACCTTTCAGAACTTCCCAGAGAATCACCATAAAGAGGTGGGAACCACCTCTGCGCCTTGTAAGACCTTGTTGGGGGGGGGGGGTTAGAGGGAGCCCACAGGACCCGTTTCGGTTGCCGCCCCTCTTGGTCCCGCTCACACAGGCAATTAGAGGCCATGGTGTAGGCACATGGTGAGGACCCGCTGATAGGTATTATCAGCACTGTCATCTGTTCCCCCCCTTTCATTGCCAGAATGCTTGCATGTCTCTTAGGCCACACGGCCTTGGCATCGTTTTATGTCTTTTGTGAATGATTTCAGCATAGAAGACCTTTGGCTCTAATACAGTCACATTCTGCCCAAAAGCAGTGTCTGCCTCGCCTTGGAGCCTGACACAGAGCCGGGATCCCAGGAAGTGCTGAGTGATATTGACTTTGGGGCCCTCTGGTCCTTTACCAACGACTGAATGTTGAGCTCTAATCATATCTGTCTGTCCCAGGGCCAACAAAGCTACCTCTGTTTGACTTTCCAGGCATCCGTGACCTTCAAGGACGTGGCAGTGACCTTTACCTAGGACGAGTGGGGGCAGCTGGATGCTGCCCAGAGGAGCCTGTACTGGGCGGTGATGCTGGAGACCTGTGGGTAAGGCCTCACTGCTCTTTCTGTGGGGACCTACAACCTCTTTCATGCTGCCCTTTTCAGGAGGCTTCTGAGGACACTCTCCCTCCTCCCCACGGCCCTGACATGTATTGGTTTATCTTCAGGCTCCTGTGTCTGCCACAAGGAATTTGGAGCAAGAAACCTAGTTCCCCTCAAAACGGCTCAGATGGCAGGGGAGAAGGATTTGTTGGAGGAAATACGGGTGTCTTGTAATATTGAGGGGCAGGAGGTCCAGTCAGGCACCATGAGAGACTAAAGTCAGGAAATGGAAGAAATCCTGATTAGATACTGGCCTTGGTGTCTTCTGATCTATTTGTGGGTCTCCTTGTGCCATTCTCAGCAGATTGGCTTTTTCTGCTGCAGGGAGCTGATAGCCAGAAATGGTCACCCCTGCCCTTGATCTAAGAAACCTCTCAATTCCTTGTCTCTACTTCTTGCTGTACTTTTTTTTCCCTCATATATCTGTCTTTCTCTACGTCTGGCTGTCTCTGCATGGGTGTTCTAGTGGCAGGAAACAGCCACCCGAGCCCACACTTCTTTTTACCTCTTACTCCTGTGCTCAGCACAGGCTGGCCCTAACTTGTTCCTTCTCCAAATTCCTACAAGATGGAGACTGAGTGGCCAAGCTTGATTGGTTTATAGCCCAGTCAGCAGAACCCCTGGGTAATGGCATGTTGTTCAGCAAGTGAGTGAAGCAGACAGGACATCAGGAGGCATCTGTGTGAGTCCTACTGGCAGTCATTCTAAAGAACAGAATCTCCTTTAAAAGGCTTTTGGCCCCTGATGCCTACATGCTCATCCCTCGTGTACTTAAGTCTGGGCCATGATCGTCTCTTGGTATGGGAGATCATTTTAGAGGGTGCGCAAACATGGCAAGTGGCAATGATGGACAATCAGAGAAGGCCATTCCTTTTTCTCTTGTTTTTCCTGTTGCTGTTTCATGCTGTCTTTTAATGCCCCTTTGACTGTTGGCAATTTCTCTCTTCAACAGAAGGGACAGCCTCAGACTCAGAGCCCTGGGCAGGCAGCATGAGTTCATTGAGACTTGATAGTTCTGTTTTGATTTTCTTGCAGTAACTTTGCATTTGTGGCAAATGAAACTGGTTTTTCCATTTCTTATATGGACACAAGATTCCCTATATGAAGACATGTATTAAAGTTAAATAAAAAGTGGGTCAGTGTCAAGGAAGGCAGTTGTTAGCAATGGTCATAATTAATGTTCCATGAACACTAGTGCATCTGGGTCCCATGACTGCATCTGGACAGTTTTGGGGGGTCCTCCAGGACTAGGGAGATGGATCACCCTAGACAGCTAGCACTACCCTACTCAGCCTTTAGGGCCTAATGATAACGTTCTTGGCTTTGGTTCCCAGGTCACAGATCAGTTTGGACAAGAGCAGCCTCATTCCGAGGTCTCTCCATCTCAGAGTCCCAGACAGGACTGAAACATTTCTTTTTGTCTTTGCTAAAATACAAATATCTTATTTCTTTCTCCACAAACAGGATATCTGGTTCCCAAACCAGATCTAATCCACCCGCTGAAGCACAGGCAGGAGCTGTGGGTGGTGAAGAGAAGCCTCTCCCAAAGTGCCTGTCCAGGTGGGTGACCAAGTGTTGGGCAGGAGGGGTCATGGCAACCTTAACTGAGGGGACCACTGCCTCTGGAATTCCGTGGGAAGCTTCTTGTTGTGGCCTCCATGGGTGCCTGGGTCGGTGTAGAGCTCTCTGTCTCGAAGTCCCTTTGTCCTCCCACCTCAACAGATTCTTTTCTGCCACAGGGTAAAGAACCTGTTTTATGTATAAGGGCAAGGCTCTGGGCTCCAACTGCTTGGTATTAAAACCTGCCTTTGCCGGTCACCAGCCCACTGGCAATAGGGAAGTTGCATGGTTTTGTCGGGCCTCCTTTAGTTAATTTAGGCTGTTAATGTTCACTGCAGTAACAGATAATCTCCAAAAGCTGAGTGGCTCAACACATGAAGGATTTTTCTCACTCATGGCAGGGCTCGTGTGGGTCAGCGTGTGAGATTGTATCACACGGTTATTCAGAGACCCAGGTGTCGCCTGTCTGGCTTTATGGTTACCTTGGCATCATTCTACTGGCATAGGGGAAATGAGAGGAAGTATGGAAGTCACACCTACATTATTTCCCCTCACACTCTGTTGACAAGAACTCGGCAGTTGGCCATCCCTTTTTTTTTTTTCAATTTACTTTATTGAAGTATAGTTGATTTACAATGTTGTGTTAGTTTCTGGTGTACAGAAAAGCAATTCAGTCATACATATATATAACAGATTACGTCTACTAATCCCAAATTCCCAATCCATCCCTCCCCCACCCCGCCCTCCCCCTTGGCAGCCACAAGCTTGCTCTCTATGTCTGTGAGTCTATATCCCTCTTTCGATGCAGCTGGGAACTGAGGTTTAGCTCTGTGTCCAAGGAGAAGAGCAGATGGGTTTCTGGGTTTTGTTTACATCAAACCAGTCTGCTGTACTCAGCCTACTCTTGAAAAATGAAAGTGATGATAATTTCCAACTCATTGGGCTGTCTGACGATACAGTCATTTGATGCATGAAATTAGTTAGCACCATGCCTGAGTTATAGTTACAAGCTCAAAAAAAGTCAGCTGTTAGGATCCTTCATGTAATAATAACAATCACAATGCATAATCTCTCACATGTCCTCCTAGACTCAGAATAAAAGAGTTCATGTTACCATCTCTGCCTGTAGGCTGCATCCCACCCTTCTCCACCTGTTCATCTGTCCTTCTGTTTGTCAGACAGAAGCAATCCCTAGCTGCGTTGTCTTCCTGGCCCTCCTTTACTGGAGCCTCAGGATGACACTTGGCTTTGTCTGGCCCACGTCTGGGCTGCTCAGAACAGCTGGAGTCACAAAGTGTGTTGATTGGTGCCACTGCAGTCATGGTCTTGCCCCTCTCCTGCTTCCTTGCACTCCCCAGCCAGTTCATGTGTGTCTCTAGCCCCCTTCACAGCCCGATGGAGTCTCTTCCAAATACTCACCTTTCAATTACATTCCACATGTTCCATCACATTCTTCATACCTTAGAAGGAAATCATGATCTTGCCCACTCCTCCATCCTCCACAGTATCAGTGGATGGCCTTGTCATTCAGACAGTTGAGAAGGTGGGAAACGACCTTGTACAAACTCATAACACTCTGCCTCCATCTAACCCAACATTCAGCCATTATTATCCTGCTTATTTTATGTTTTTCATATTGGGTAAATCCATCACCTCCACCACCTCTGTGAGCTCCACTACAAACATCCTGGTCTAAGCTCTCATCACCTTTTGCCAAGACGACGCCAAGACACTTCTAACTGGTTGGCTCACATTTGCTCTGTGATTCTTCTCTCTCCTGCACCAGCTCTGCCATCCATACAAGCATTGATCCAAACATTCACCACTCCCTGAGCCACTGATGTCTCAGCATACAACCTACTTCATGGCCTTCTTTCTTGCTGCTCAACCTTACAGAGCATCTCTTATCTGTCTCATACCTGTAGCTTCCCTTCCCAACTTTGTGGAAGAGGTCTCGCCCCCTGCCGTAGCTACTTCCTGCACCAGAGACTAAATGACACCTTCTCCTGCAACTTCGGAGGCTTCTCATGCTTCCTCCTAGAAAGGTAACCGGTATTTAGACTCTGTCACCATAGATTAGCTTTGACTGTCTTAACATGATGTAAATGGAGTCCCACAGTTTATTCTGTCATGTCTGTCTTCTTTTGATCTTCGTTATGCCTGTGAGAGTCATTCTTGTGGTTCTACGTAGTTCAACTCTGTTCTTTCTCAGTGCTCAGCAGTATCTCATTGTATGCCCATTCTCCTGTGATTACCATTTTAATTTTTTCCTATTTCTGATATTATGAACATTCTTGTTCATGTTACTTTTGGAGGTATATACTATGTATATATAATATAGTACTCATTTTTGCGGGGAATATACAGAGAGGAATGACTGGGTCTTAGGCTATGTGTATGTTTAGCTTGAACAGAAACTGCCAGACAGTTTTACAGAGTGGCTGCACCCTTTCACGCTCCCACGAGCCATGTGTGAGAGTGCCCATTGCTACATTCCCATCAGCACTTGGTGTCTTCCCCTTTCCTTTCTGAGGCCCAGTGGTGAGGTGGCTCAGAACCACAGCACTGAAACCATTCTTGATGAGGTCATAGCTTTTATCCTAATTACCAAATGTAAGAACAGCACTAGCGACAGTGGATAATGGCCCACGATATGCTGAACGTTCAACCTGTGCCAGGCACTATGCTGAGTACTTTACAGGTGTGGTCTTGTTAACCCTCATGGCAGCTGGTGAATTAGGAACTGGGCATCTCCCAGTGTTTCAGGTTAGGAAATGGTGATTTACAGGTGGTTAATAACTGTCAAGATGACTGCTTGGTAGAGGCAGGGTTTGAACTGAAGTGACATTCTTCACCACCACGCTGTACTGGTTTTCGATGCAGCAGAAACCTGTTCCACTTTTCTGCACCTGGGCTTTGGTAGCACTT